TCAATGTTAGAGATAGATTGGAAAAAGATTGAATTCAGGAGGAAAGTTTACAAACATAACAATATACGAATTTTATTCCAACTCTTCGACTCCTTAGGACCTAAATTTCATCATAATGTTAATGAGTACAATATTTACAACGCATCATTCCTATATAAAACCTCAGAAAATTCAGGTCAGCTTCAAAAACTTCTTCGAGTGTGATACTCCAGAATTTTCATCAACCATCATGGCCGTTCACTGCGTCACGAGTGAAAACGGAAAACATGCGGATGGTCACTTATTTTTCAAAGAGAAACAAGCTGACATTAGAAGTGTGAGATGTATCAGAGGCACAACTACTGGGTTCGTGCGATACCAGTTGGAGATGCCACTGGGGCTGTGAAGGGAGGTCACAGTCATATTGACGAAACAGCTCATATAGAAACTTTGAGGATGGAAGATGTTGCATGTGAACGTGCAATAAATAGCCAAGGAGCACCCAAATATATTAATTGTATCTAATGCGTCTGCTGGACTTAGCCAAGCTGCTGCAGGACAGAAGATCGGCAGTATCAAAAGAACGATAAGAAACATCAGAATAAAGAAACAATCAGGACCACCTGTGCCCATATCCCGACAGGAAATTTTATTTCCTGAGAAATACAAGATTACTAAACAAAGCGAACAGTTCGTACTGTTTGATTCAGGACCGACGGAAGAGAGAATTGCTGTATTTTCCACTGCAAAAAAAATCCCTGGTTATTGGCCTCATCTGATCACTTCCTTTGGGATGGAACTTCTAAAACGGCGCCTCATTTGTATGTTCAACTGTACATACTTCACGGTATTCAGGTTAACAGTTCAATTCCGCTTCTGGATGCTCTACTACCAGATAAGACAGAGGCTTCATAATATGAATTATTGCAACAAGTAAAACAGCTTCAACCTGATCTCTCGCCAGAAACAATTATAAATGATTTCAAACCTGTCACACTCAATGCTATTCGCCAAGAATCTCCAAGGGCTGGACATCGGGGATGTTTCTTCCATGTTTCGCAGTGTACATTCCGAAGGACTCGGGCAGAGGATCTTCAAGGAAGGTACGAAACTGAATTCGAATTTTCAATAAATGCGATTATTGCCAGCGTTGGCCTTTATCTCTACAGAAGATGTGGTTAGGTATTTGAAGTTCTTAGCAGTAGCTGTAATAACATGTCTGAAGTAGCACAACGTTTGATTGATTGCTTTGAGGATTGCTGAATTGGACGTCCTCAAGGACTCATGGGACGCCGAGTGCCGCTCTTCTCTATAGAAATGTGGAACTGCCACGAAGGAGTACGACACCGTCTTCCAAAGACAAAGAATTCACTTGAAGGATGGCGTCTGGATTCGAAGTGCAAATATCTGCACAACACCCTAATATATGAAAGTTTATTGAAGCGATTCAGCGAGGCCAAAGCATCAGAAGATTGCAAATTGAACATTACGTGAGTGGCCAATGAGGAGACAAGCACATAAGAAATAAAGGGATTGCGCTGAAAGAATTTTCTGAGTAATTGCGAATTAAAACAATCAATCGAAATCATGTTTTAGTATTTTTGAGGGGTGTGGCACATAATATAAACTACTAATTAGATTTAGCAGTAACAACATGTTTGTATGCGTGTAAATAATGTTCCAGAAGATTTTTTTCAAGTAAACGATTTCAACGAAATCTGTGTTTAATTGGAAATGTACAGGTACCTGCATTATTATCATTTTCAGGCCGATTAATTCAAAATCAGCACATTTCGATCTTTAGAAATATTAACAGTACTTAACTATATAGTATAAATTAAGTTTTTGTGATTCATATTTTTTAATAAATAAATCATCGGCAATCAATTGTAGAATTAGTGAGTTTTCCTTCGACGAATTACGGGTCAGTGAATTTTCCAGTCGGTGATCTTACCGTTGGTGAACTGCAGTCGGTGAACTTTCCTAGATCTCTTGTTTGTCTTTAAATCGTTTTTTTGGTCAGTAGTACAATGCTCTTATTGTACCGCATTTCTCTTTTCGATGGAAAAGACCATCGATGAGCTGTTTGCTGTAACCATCGGTGCCAGACAAATGTCTTTTAGGATTTAAGTCGGGTCATATTCATCGCTTGGTCATAAATGGCAACACGTTATCCGTTTGTGGCCGTGAAGGTGCTACTCCCTGTGGCGAATTGGCAGCTGCACCACGCGCTCATCAAAGTTATGAGTCGGATCCTTTGTTCCTCGCGAACTGTGTTCAAGAACGAAATCAGCCGGAGGAACAGATTTCTCGTCAGATTGAACAAATATTGGATTAACGCGTTATTTTCTTAATCAGGGAACATCACGTTGTTCCTGTGTCAAAGCAGATGTAGCGAGAGTTATGCTACATCAATGTTGAAGAGCTCGTGTGTATGGGCAGGTTAGTACATGACACAGAAGGCAGTGTATGCATGGAAAGAAACAAGGACAATCAGGTGATTTTCTGTCAAGTAGTACTCAAGAGGCAATTGAAACAGCGATGACTGGCACCACCCCAATTCCGGTTAAGTTTCAGTTCCGGATCGAATTAGTACATAGTTTGATCGAACATCCAGACTTCTTTATCGACAAACGCATCACATCGCGCTGGAATGGCAGAAATTGCTTACAGGCGAAACTAGATCTAACAGTGCAGTGAAAGTGAGACTGTAAGTTCACTGTATGAAACCAAAGTTGCACGATGATGAGAGCGGCCTATCTGACGATCATTAGGATTATACTGTGCACTGATGCGATCAAATGACAGATCGACTGTTTCAGGTTACGGCAACAGCAGCGGTTTAATTCATATGCATAATGTGATTAATCCTGAAGTAGACCGGTGCAAATGACTGGGATGTTTGGAAAATTACATGACTTGTCAAAGAATCAATCAGTCAGACTTCGCCCTTGATTGAGATGGAAGACGGCATGATATACTACTTTACAAAGTAGCTACCTCTTTTCTACAATCTTGCTAAAGTAAATGACGTTATGTTTTGATGCTATGTTCCCAAAAACAATATGTGATGGTTTGTTCGGTACAAAACCAAGCCTAATATTAATACTTCATCCAATAATCAACATAAGTTTAATCAGCGTACTCAAAATATTGCTGATGCCGGTCTCGTAAATTTTCAGAAGCGGAGGTCAAAGTTAATTTGCTATAAGACTGAAATTTTTGTTCTTAAGTCCTCTGGAAAATTCGTAATAAAAAGTTGTAGCTCTAAAATTGAAACGTTCATTAATGTCGGCACTGTCTCGCTAACGATTCAAATTTCACAGAAGTAAATTTCAGGTGATTAGATGTACGACAAGCCTCACTTTCGTGGACTCTCTCATGCTGTAACTGAGCATGTAATGTATGTTTAGTAGTCACCCCAGTCTTCGTGTCTGTATCATAAGGAACAATAATCAGCCTAACTAATGGATCATGTGGCGCAAATTGTTTGACTAAAGGTGGAAAAGAGATGCTTTTATGTAACGATGCCATGCTCATCATCTATGCAGAAAAGTTCCGCCCATAAAAAATACAAGGGCAAACCAAATATCTTGAACGGTCAGCACCGAAGATGAATCAATCACTCTATACCAATATGCAGCTACGAATATCGAACAACATCTGGCCAGCCAATGCAATAACATGATCATGAGTAAATGTCGCTGCTGAGGACGACCGATTGGAAAATTGTATGATGGAAAAAAGTACATGACCAAACGATTTTCGTGAACTCAGAAACGGCTGATTTGCAAAACAATGGCAATTCGGTTTGACCCCGCCTCCTAATGCGCTTGAGGCTGTTTTGCGTTGCACAACGAAAGTCGAATCACAAATTCCGATTGATGGATTTGCGACTCTTGTTCGCATTAATCTCCGAAGTAAACGCAGCAAAATTGTTTTTGTTATTTCGTCTATCTTCTGAGCAAAGGACAACTAATCACTTCACTCAGTGAAGTTCAAAACTACTTTTGCATCAGGCCGTGCTGGCGATAAGCAGTTGCTGTAGCTTTGCATTTTCTTCCAGTGCAGCTAATCACGTGCTGCCACAAGTTTACCACGGCCACCAACGGCGCTGCAAAGTTCGAAAATTTGTTTTGAAAAATACTAGTTCACATTTGGCATCAGGTGAATCATTGGGCGAACTTGTTGACTTTGGAGTTTGCCGATAGTTCGACAACTTTGTTAGTACTGGTTCTGCTGTCGTTAAAGCTGCCATCGCCGTAGTGGCTCCAAGACTAAGTACCTGAAGAAGTTCAAATCCTCACGCCTCCCTGAAAATCCTTTGTCAAGGTGAATATTCTTCTCTAGAGTACGTATTCTTGTTTTACTAAATGAAGAATAAAGTATGAACAATTTCCTACTGTTGCTGCCATCGTCATCGAGTGCTATGTCATCATAGTCCCGTGATTCCGGCCATGCCATTGTGTAAGACAACGACATACTGGCGTCATGTCTGACTTGTCAAATTCACTTTTTTCAAGCAAACGCTCGGACGACGTCATGGCGAAGGCGGATGCTTCAGGGTTCAGCTTGAATGATAATAGTCAGGCAACAGTGCACAGAGATTTCACTGTTCCCCTCTTTACGATACTCTAAATCTGAAATCTCAGAATCGTATAATATCGTCGTCATAGGAATGCTAGTTCACAGAAACACTTCAACTTCGCGAATTGCCTTGTATCACTTGATGTCTAGCCATTGCATCTGGAAGGTCATGCTAAAACTCTCCAGCTATGCGAAACTTGAACAGCAGAGTTACGTAGACAGATGATGTCTAATCTTGGACTCATACTGTACGCATACGAAGCAGTTTCAACCAGTCCGACGATTTAGCTGAGTCAAGCTAGTGTCAATAACCGAATTCTGCAACAATCACTTCTATGAATAGGAGGCTTAAGATTTGAATGCCTCTAATACTGTACCGCTTGAAAAAATGCTGAATGTTTTTTATCACCTCTACATCTGTTGAGCAGAGGATAATGATACAGAAATTGGAATTCGCTTTCCTATTTCAGATTCCAATCGGCATCTTGAAACCAGGTAAAGTAACGCGTAATATGTCATGCCGAAGTACGATGAAGCCTTTACGTTCTCTGTTCGCTAGGTTAGTTGTTATGGCATAAAATAGCCTTTGGGTCACCGGATTCAAAAACCTTGCACAGATTTCGTACTCTCTGTCCCGGTTAGCATTTCGCAGGATTCTATAACAATGACTTCTTTGATTCATCTGATCAGCCAGTAACTTTGTTTGACGATGCCGGCGCGATCCATTATTGGGCAACATGACCTTTACCTGTTGTGCGTTGCACAATCCCTCAGACCTTTAAACATTGTTCTCTCACATTGTTATGGAGAACGGTCTGTTTTCTTCCTGGATGTTTTATTGCCCCGTGTCGTTTGCGGTCGTCTTCAGTCATCTATTTTTAAGTTTGACAGGTGTTCTGTTCTTTTCTGTGAGGGTATTCCGGTTTCTCCCATGTAGTATTTTCCGCAGTCGGGAGCTATTTTGTAAATCCAATATATGAAGTTGTCACTATCGCAACAACCTAACAAAAAATTAAGTTTATTGGAGCTTTTAAATATAATACTAATGTTGTATCTGGTGTTAAATACTTTTGTACCGTTTTACTAAAATTTTTATGATACGGTAAAATAAACTACATTCATCATTCGAAATGCAACTTATTGGATTATCGGTATAACTCCGCCGTTGTCGGTGCCAAGCCCGGTTGAGAAAGGAGGAGGGTTGGAGACCGTGGCGAAGTCTCCATAAAAGTTCTCCATCTGCCACTCATCGTATTGACGCCACCGAAAATTACACTGGCCCGGACGTCACCCGAGCTACCAAGGGCCGCGCAGGCTGTTCGGGGATTGAGGCACACGGCGAAAACTCGGCGGTCAGACCCTCTTCATCGCTCTCTGCCAACCTGGGACGTGGCAACACAACGACGGCTGACGAAGATCGACGCAACGACGACGAAGATACCAGTCACCAATGGAGTCGCTACCCATTCTGAACGAAGGAGGCAGAC